TGATTGCGCATATGTGAGTTTTTCTCCTTGTTCCCTCCCTCCCCCACATTACGCTTTCCGACCCCATGAATTCTATGCAGGAAAACGAGGCACACTCCCTTCTCCGAGATGGAAGCAGAGTGGGCGAAAAACCAGCCAACTGAATGTCCCATCTGTGGTAGGGAGCCAGAGGTTTCCCGAAAGGGGAAAGAAAAGATGGCAATGCGCAATCACGCGCTCAATTATTGTCCTGCAATCATCTGGTGGTGGGGGCAGGGACCAAAGGATGTCGGAAAGTTTACCACCCATCCACTTGCAGGGGATTGGTCTGAGGAGACGATAGTAGAAGCTCTGAGGCCACTCAGTAATATTCATTTCGAGGTGTGTGTTCACTTATCGCATTACGTTTCGATCTCAACCTCATCTGCCATCGATAGATTCCCGACGGATACCTTGACTCGGAGGAACTGGAAGCCTTGTCAGAGCTCACCACCTCGTTCTCCATTCGCCCCCCTAAGGACAAGGACGACTTTGATATGCTGCCTGAGACCGTCCACCCCGTCCCACCCCCTTCAAAAGAACTCTTGGCGCTGATTGGCAAATGACCAGTCTCGACATCCCCAAACAACTGCACAACATCTTCCGTATTTCTCTTGTCCGCTCTCCTCCATCTTTTTGTACTCTTCGAAAATACAATACTATGTTTCTTGGCCTGTTGTAAGCCTATGATTGAGCGGCGCTCTGCAATGCCCCATAAGGGGGTGCTTATCTATAGTGAGAGGGATCTGATATGCAAATATGACTTATCCATATCGAAGCCTGGCTAGCTCAATCGGTAGAGCGTGAGACTTTTACGAATATTGATCTTAAGGTTGCGGGTTCGATCCCCGCGTCGGGCTTTACTTTTGCGATTTTCTAGAGCCCGGTCATGTTTGCCCTCAGTCCCCGCCTATCGACGACGTTCCAACGTCTTTTTTTCTATTCATACTAGGATCCTTTCTTGCAATTTGATCACGTGTTTACAGTGCTCCAAAACGTAGTCTTTGGACATCGTTTGGGGAGCGATCGAGGTGGTGCATGTGATGCATGTGACTCGGACTCTCTCCAATGTCAAGTAAAAAAAATCTATCAAGAAAATGCAGACAATTCCCGTTTGATATGATAGTCTACATCGTGAGAGAATGGGCAAAATAGGGAAATAGGGGCAATCCATGGATTCGTGTGAAGGGAACCTGGCGGTTATGATAAAATATACGCACGATTCAGCGATATAACAAAAAGAAAGATGCACAAGTGTGTGCTAGTGACAGACCTAGTGGGGCGCATTATTCATCATTGCATTCATCCCCACAAAGAGTTGCATCATCATCGGAGCTGCTGCCCTCGTCAAAATCCGCCACTGCGCCATGATCATTGCCGGCCAGCCCCTCCGCCTCTTCAAGTACGACTGCTTCCACTTCCTCGGCCCCAGCATTGCCCTCGCCCTCCTGCCCCAAAGCCAGAGCTTGGCAGTGGGCGCGATGCCGTGCCCGCCAGTCGCGTCTCTGTTCACAATATGGGCATATAGTCATGAGCGATCCGCTATGAGTGTTGGCAAAAGGGGTTATATTCACCTGGCATTCTCGGCCGCAGTAGCGTGGTACCTGTGGTGATGTTTCGGCATGCAAAGTCAGTAGCCATGTCAGCAAATGAAGGCAATTTGGGCAACATACTTTACAGCGCGAGCATTGAAAGACCTCGAAAGAGTCATCAGCGTCTCGTCTCAACGCTTGCTTAGGACACCAGCGGCTTGCGCATACGGCGTACCCCATGTGCATGGCAAGGTCTCGCGTTGAACGCGCCTGGGAAGGCTTGTTGGTGGCCTCATACGCAGTTGCAGTAGCCTCAAAGGCCCGACAAATGAACTCATCTGACCATTGGGGGCTACTTGCGCCCACCGAGACTTCTTGCAAAAGCGTCTCGACGTGCGAGAAGGGTGGTGACTGTTGAGACCCAAAGGCACTAGTGCATCCGCTTCCGAGGTGGGCAAGAAATGCCACGGACTCGACCATGTTGCACGGGTTTAGAGGGGTTTTCACGCAGCAACAGTCAGTTTGACTGGCTCGTGAAGAGACTCTGGAGCGCCTTCTGGAAAAATGACGACGTCGTCGAGCCATGTCGTGCGAATACAAGCTGAGGCGTAGCGCAGGTGGGTCCAATGAGAGACCATATAATGAAAGTGGAATATAGTGCGAGCCTATAAGAGAGTGCGATTTGGCTGCATGGCTAGGTCCATGTTTTTAGAGGAGAGCTACGGACGAGACTAAGAGAGCCCATATGGCAATATTGTCCCTCTCACGTTGGACGACACACATCACCACAAGAAGCGGGGAGAATGGCGCCGGGGTACCATGAGACCAGCAGGTCTTCCGGAGAATCATGGCAGGGCAGCATAGCTTTCCCAATTAGGTGTCCGAGCTTGCTGTTTCTGATCAGACACGGCGGAGCGTCTGTGAACGTGGTAGCCGATGCAGTGTATGGGCACAAAAGACACATTTTACAGGGACCTTTTAAGCTTTTGAGCTTGGTCATTCTGCTCAAACTTTTTGAAAAGGAATGCCAAAAGTGCGAGCGTCGAATCACGTGGGGAATTGCCACAAGCGCCTGTTTGTTAGGTCCGCCCAACAACCCAGTTCACGTGAGATTACGAGTGCCAAAAAAGCAATTGAAGGCAAAATTGATTGGATAGGATATGGTATGTGTGTACAAATGCGGGAAGTGTCAAGGAACGTGATAAATCCACTATGAATGCCCACCGAGGCGTTGCTCAAGAGCGTAGCCATCATAGCGAATATATTCGCTATTTTGCGCAATGATGGTCAGAAATTTAGAGACTGCTGTCTGGCGCCAGCCATTCTTTAGAAGACGCAGTGTTGCGCTCTTGAAGCGTGTTTCACCAGTAGCGGCTTGTTCCTCAAACTGCTCACCGGTAGCAAGGTAGTTGAGCTCGGTGGCAACATCTTGCATTGCATCACTAGCCGCAATCACATCATTTCCTTCCCTCTGGTCACGGAGATGTTTGGCAGACATCACCTTGAGAGACGTCTTGGCCTTGAGGGTGAGAGAGTAAGTGGTGGCGGTACGCTAGGGGGAAATATCGCGCAAAGCGGAGCATGAGAAGCGTGGTTTGATTAAGAACAATGAATGGGGACCTACAAGCATCTTGGGGGCCGTGGCGGCGGGTCCGCTTTGACCCTTTTGGGGAGCTGGCTTGCGAGTCTTCTGTTTAGGCTCGAGGTCACTCTCTGACATGGCAGGAGCATCGTCCGTATCGGAGCTCGAGTCCGATATCAGGTGCGTAACAGCCTTCCCCTTGCCTTTCTGTGCGGCGGCCTCGGGAGGTGGTGAGTAGGCATCCGACGAATGTGAAACGTCAGATTCTAAGAGGGGTTCCAATGCGTCTGGCACCCGCATACTCGCACTTGTGCGGTGAATATTTGCCTTGGCGCGTCTTGCGGACGTGCGTGTTGGGCGTAGGGGATGGTCAGAGAGCCCACCGCTGTCGGATGCTTGCGTGGTCTCAACCTCGGGCTCAGAAGCATCAAATGGAACCGCATCCTCCTGGGGCGGAGTGGGAGTGTCGTTTTCTGGTGAAGGCGAAAGCACGATGCGACGTAACTTCTGTTTAATCCCAACCTTGATAAGCTATTTGCGGCTGCATAAAGTCGAACCCATACCTTGGAGGCTCGTGATCCGACAGGCGGTGACGACCCATTATCTGAGCCAGCAGGTTCGGGAGTTGGCGCAAGCCGTTTCGAACCTGGGACCGAAGCGGACGATGAGCGAAGCGCGCTTCCCGACGGGCCGGGAGTGTCGGATACCGCGGGAATGTGACTGGTACGGGTGGCACCTTTGGCCAGTTTGGGTTTCTACTTGACGGAGATTGGATATGTGCAATGGCTGGAATCAGTACAAGTTTGCTGGCATAGACGAATGGCGCACCTTGGATGGCTGGAAAGCGGAAGATGGTTGGGTACTTGGGGTATCCGGACGAGTCCTGCGACGCGATGTGGGCGCATCGGGGCGACCCAGTGGCCCCACGATAAGATCATTAATTTTGATGGGAAGCTTTGCTTTCGAGGGAGGTTGGGTAGAGGGATGGAGGGGTGGAAAGTCGGCGTCCAGATTGGGTGCAGCTGGTTGACTGCGGCCACTTCGACGCGAGGTTGTAGAACGAGACGACATTCTGAAAGTAGAGGACGTTGGTATTACGAGGGTAGGGTGAAAGTGTAAGCGTGAAAAGAAAGGAGCCTGTGCGTATTATGTACCCTGGGTGGCACGGGCCTCATGCTTCTCAGAACGATCCGCCCAATATGTAGAATGGCTTGTCGTCTGTCTGCAGGCACAAAGTTCAGGTGACACCCTTTATTCGGATAGTTGACTGCATACAAAGACTGAGAATCCTTCGTCATTTTATAACCGGGGTCAAAAGCACAAGACCAGACTGGATTGGAGCAGCAGAGCACAGTTCAGGTGATGCTTTAGGGCAAACGGCGTGTTGTTGGATATTGACCACGTGCAACAAGGTTATGTTGTCCGTTGATTGGTGATCACAGAATTGCGCAAGTGCGTAATTCGGTATAGTCGTACAAGACCTTTAGAATCTTAAGCATATTTCTTAAAAGTCTGACGCACTAGCCAATTGTGCTAGTCGGGCAAGGCTGTCTATTAATCCAAATCTGATAATACAAAGACGACAAAAAAGGGGTTCAAAAAGATGTTTTCCAGTAGCCCAACGCGGGACTCGAACCCGCAGCCTTCAGATAGAATTTTAAGCATATTTCTTAAAAGTCTGACGCACTAGCCAATTGTGCTAGTCGGGCAAGGCTGTCTATTAATCCAAATCTGATAATACAAAGGTCTACAGGTATCTACAAAGATTTATATGGTTTATTATGTACTGTCAAACAGTTCAGGACCGATGGAACATTGTCTAGCTTTTTATGGTTATTTCTCGCAGCTCAATGTCGCTCCAGAGCCACTTTGATGGACTCTGTCCTCGACGTGAGAAGATATTGATCATTACAGCGCTACACAACAATATATATGAGATGAGATGACAAGTTATCAACGATGCAAAGTTTCAGTGGTATTCGCTCGCTTGGTAAAAGATGTGGGGTTTTCTGGTGGGGATTTCGAGTGACAATGGAAGGATGCGAGCTGTGTCACTCGGTCACGCAGAATTTCGGGAACTGGGATCTTCGGAAAGGGCTTTCCCTCGAATACCTCAAGGAGGCCGGAAACTAAGCTCGTTTGAGGTACTAGATGGGTTGGTAGGGTCGTGGTGGAAGCGAAAGAAAGGAGGTAAACGACTAGTGCCACCTCTTATGGCCATTGGCTCGTTGTAGATAGAGCCAAATAAAGGATCATGTACTAGTATCTCTTGCACAAATACAATCGGATAGGCTAGAAATTTTAATACAGGAGATGGAGCTACGAGAGGTTTGGGCATCTACATCGTAACTATCGTACTACTAGGAGGCCACCATGGCGCGGCTGAGAGAGTCATCTCTGTTGTAATTGCACATCGGAAAGCGATAGGAGTAGGATAGATTAGAAATATAGTCCAGATATGAAGACCGGGTCATTATGCGGACCTGAGGCTCAGCTCTAAACAAACACCTCAAGCTCGGCAGGGCGTACCACTGATGGTCACGCATCCTTCGTTGATCTGGAGTGGGGTACACACAGCAGTATCTATGGACCACCATAGCAATCATCAGTCCCTAATCTCTCGTAAGAATGGGCGAAATCTTGTAAACGTACAGATACCTCCATCAGGACAGTCGCATTCACAAGGTGGAAGATAAGCAGAGGCCGGCACAAATATGATGGAGGCTACAACGCTCCAGAATAGCCTCGACGGGTGCATATTTTCACGAATTATCCCTGGCGTGGGCTTGGACTGAATTTGGGCCTCGCAGGTGAAGGGGGTCGACACAACAAGGGTGAACTCATGAGTATATATAGCCACGAACTCACGGTGATGAGTATGAACGGGCAGCCATGCGGCCCGAAAGGCTTCTAGCAAGCTTTGGGTCACGCTGAGCTACCTCAATGTGTGGCGGAGCATAGGTTTATTTATTCAGTAGACTCTAATGATAGGAGATGAACTGTCGTATTCGGCTGCACATCTCAGCTCATCAGGATGCGGCGAGGATTGAATCCGGGGGTGGGTGAGATTTCAACGGGCTGATCAGCTCTTTTGAGTACTGTTTTTTCGATAAGACGTCAAGTACATGTACAGAGTCAGCTCAGCAGTACTAGTGCCAGATTGGAGTGGGAATTCGGATGACCAGTTCAAATAGACTAATATCAGAGCCTGAGTGAACAATTTACGCTGATCTGGTGTCTCTCATCTAGACGACTGTCTTTCAAGGTTCAGAGTGATTCCAGGGACTTGGGGAACCGCCGCGTTGAAGCGTTTGCGGCGAGATCGGACTAAAACCATCATTCGGATAGATTCCACGTATGAGGCCAGATAGGACTGACAACGCAATTCACAGTATGGCCGATACCGGAGTCAAAAGTCCAGTGCTCAGGATTGACTGGCCACAGTGCAGAGGATGTCTTGGGGAGAACCAAACATCGCCAAACATCAACGATGCAACCCACTGGAGCGCGCTTGAGCACCCCGCGATCCGAAGGGCAGGTCCTCAACTTTAAGTAAGGTCATTTGTAGCCGTGCATATCTGGCCTCGTATGCCACTTCCTCATTCGCCACTCCGGGGACAACCTGCCTTTGTCATTTGTCAGAGCCTCTCAATGGGAGGCACAGCACTGTCATCCAAATACCCAATGAAATGTTGTGCCACCCATCCACATCACGACCAGCGGCTGTAGCTTTATTCTATCTAGGGTATTGGAATCGCCACCACCGCTCCGACCTTGTTCTCGATGTAGCAGAGCTTCGCGGCCACCTCGTTGCTATAGCTCGCTAGTATAGAGACATTATATTTGATACAGCATTTTACCGTATATGATTGACCCTCAGCATATTCATTCGGCTATGAAATCTCTGGCAAGGCTGTGGGCGTACCCAGGCGTCAACCTCACCCCCCCGATCCAACGCGCCACTCAGTGCACAGCAGCCCAGCTTCATCCACTGAGGTACCAGCCCTTAATAAGATTCAATCCTCCTTGCTGGACGGGGACGCTAGCCTGTGCCTTACTATCGTCTTCATCATGCTCAGCGTTTCGGATGAATACAGTGCATGGGCGCGACAGTTCCCCCCTAAAGAACCCTTAACCCCTCGTCTCCTCCGCTCTAACAAGAGTCTTCCCACGCGACCGTATTTTGATGCACTGCTCGACAAATGGGCCCGAGCATCAAAGTCCCATAATAAGCCCTATCCAATGATCAACGGCCATACGATTCCACTATATGAACTTATGGAGGTTGTCCTTGATCCAAGGAATATCGTGGAGCAGGGCTACCTTGATGATGTAAGTACATTGCACAATTTTGGTAGCTGCCTCTGATCTCACGGGTGGCAGCACAACGACCCTCTGTTCTGGCAAAGGGTTGGCGCGGAGTTGGGGTTGGCCACATGTGATCTCGAATCGGCCAATATCTTTCGTGAAGCATTCGACAATTTTATTGCACCCACATATATGTGTCAACTGACTGGAGTTCCTAGTCTGTATTGCAATTCTGAGTAAGCTACTAGCGCTTGCCTTTTCTCAAACTGTGCTCATGGCCGTTTTTGATTTAGGACAATTAGTATTTTGTGCACTGCTATGATGGAGAGATCATCACAAGCGGATGCGCAGCGGGCGCAAGATTTCTTTGAGGGCCTTCACTCTCTCTGGTGTGACATTCAGCCATCTCCACAATGGAACGGCCCAAGACAGACTGAGGCTGCAGACTCCACTCTTCTTGACTCTATGGTCGAGAGAAAGCTTATCAAAGCGCTGTGCGCAGGCGGAGAATTATCACATCATCTCCCAGCAATTGTGCAGCTCCTACAAAATAATCTTGATTGTTGCGATGCCCAGTTACATCTGGCAGTCATGTCCTTGGTTCCAATGGTTCGACGAGTAAGCGCTAAAGTCATCCCAAACGCCTGGGAAAATACTACTATCTTCTGACTATAATTGCTCCTATCTTTTCCACACGGATGCAGGAACTATGTCGTGTCCAAGACTTCGCCTCTATGGTTGAAGAGAAGGAGCGAGCTCAATGGCGGACGCAAGAGATCAACCTTTCGAGGTTGATAGGCACACTGTCCCTAACCTTGTCATCCAAAGCTGAGGTCAGGGAGAGTGACTGTATTCTCCACAGCCTGAAGCTTCGGCGTAATCGTGAGGAGGTTGTGCTGCTCTCTGAGTTGACTCGTGACCCAGACACAAAAGATCGTTCTGGTGCATTTGCTACTGTGATCAAAATGACTCTCCAGAACGACCGAGTTGGCCGATTATTTGCGGTCAGAACGCTAAAGACAACGAAAACAGAGCACAGCTGGGTATTCATGTTCTCTTAGTTCCTGCCACCATGACATTCTGTCGCTGATGGTTGCTCAGAATCATCGTGCAGAGTCATTACTCTCATCGCTCATTCACTCAGTTCTCCGACATCCCAACGTTTCCGAATTTTGCGGGGTCCTGGACTCCGATAGCGAGTTACACATCCACTGTGTGACCAAATGGAGCACAGGAGAAGATGCGAAATATTTCTTTGTTTCAAAGCCAGAAAACCTGACCCACTTCTTACCTGTTGTATGTCGCTGTACTCTCCTCTGTCAAGATGCGCCTGACTTATCTGCGTCTAGATGGATGGATTCCTTTCAGGCTTGTTGTATATCCACAAAATGGGCATCATCCATGGAGATATTCATGGCGTGGGTATCTCCCCCCTCCTATCTAGTCTTGATCATAATATTTAGATTTGTCTCATTTCTAGGGCAATATCCTCATAGAAGCAAATGCACACCCGATAATAGTGGATTTTGGCCACAGTCGATTCGCCGTCTCCGAAAGAATCGTCGATGCACAGACTCCTCGCCACGTTTACCATGGAAAATACCCGGCTCCTGAAATCGAGAGCTCCTCCGATGCTCCTCTCACCGCCCAGACTGATTTATTTGCCGCTGCGAAGACAATATGGACGATCGCTCAGGATTCGCACCTTGAAAAACAGTGGTCGCCTGAGCGATACCGACGCTTCAAAGAATTCGTCGAACCCACAACCCCCGCCCCAGGGAGGCCCATGTACCTCCATCCAACTCACCCAGTTCCTTGGCAAAGGGGCAGTGTCGCCATGTTACAGAACCGACTGCGAAGCCTTTCGTCGAAACCCGCGAGCTGATTCCGCACTTGTGGGACGCTAGTGTACGATTTCTTCGTCTTGTAGCAATTTGGGTCTGGTGATATTCTTCAATTTGTCGTATACATACTACACACAGGCCTCAAACTAATAAATCATCTACCTCAGCGGATATCGCCTCACCATCCAAAAGCAGTTGTGCCTAGATATTTGATTGTGTGCTGAACGAAGAGATTCTTGACGGCGGACATATCAGCTCACCATGATTTTCCCCGTCCCAGGCCCGAGGGATATGCCCCATACCTGGTGCCCGCTCGCCATCCAGAGCCTGAGAGCAACGAGATCAGAGACTACATTAGCTTGCTATATGCAAAGGTAAAGAATCACCCTTCGTTGATTTTGCCAAGGATGGGAAGTCCTGTCTCTGACGAGTCGGGTCGATAACAAGCCTGCTTCAAGAAATCGTCGTTCTCCATCCTCTTTTTTACCCAATCGGACTGCACCGTCGCGGCCACACGCGTCTTGAGCCTTTCAACACCCTCTGGGCTGAACTCTACG